TGAAACCATGTTTAACCTTGGGGTTCTCCCCTTTCTTTTAATATATAGTGACTGGGAAAGCAACTTGAACCTAAGAAATAAAAATCATGTTCCTAGACTAGCAATATTTAGGGGGCCAGATAACACATAATTCTAGCTGAGTACTTCTTATTCTCAGGAGAAAACAGAGCAGCCAGCCTCATGCCCCCTTCTCCTACTCCCCTTCAGGCAGGAATCAAAGTTTCATTTTGAGAGAGTGGACAAGAATCCAGAAATGTCTATCAATGATTTCCTGCAAGTCACATTTAAACAGCTCACACACAAACTACGTGGGTAGCATGTAGTGTATATACATATATGTATATATGCATGCATATGCAGGCATGTGTAGGCATATGTATGTGTGTGCATATATGCATATATGTATACATTTATATACATATATATACACATATGTGTATATATACACATATATTTGTAAAATTTACAAAATTGTTCATGTGAACCTTGTGAAAAACACTGAGTGATCAAGACTAGTGTACCACACAGTTAAGTATATTCAGAACAATTTAAATGAACGAACCCAAATTATACCCATTAATATATTCATATCAGTCTGAGGAACAATTGCTAGAGTACCCTAGGAGAGATAGATAGATAGATAGATAGATAGATAGATAGACAGACAGATAGATAGATAGATGATAGATAAATAGATGGATGGATAGATAGATAGATGTGTGTGTATATATATACATATACACACAGATATATGGGGGTGTATGTGTATATATGTGTGTATGTCTATGCATGCATGTGTATGTATGAATATATACATGTATGTATACATATACATCTATATACATATATACACACATATGCACATATATCCTTGATACTCTATTCTTCGGTATATTTATCAATGAATTCAATGAAAATAAAGTGCAGGCTTATTAAATCTGCATTTGAAGAGAAGCTTGAAGGGATAGCAAACAGAATGGTTGAACCAATTCGTAGCATTTCTATGAATATATTAGTCTATTTAGCTTTCAGCATCCACTTCAACACTTTGGGGCATCTTTTTTCAATTTTCTGGATGTAGGGTGAAACCTCAGAATTGTTTTGATTTGTAATTTTCTTACCAGTAATTATGTGGAGCAATCTTGCATGTGATTTGAAATTCTTCTTTTGAGAAATTTTGTTCGTACACTTTGACAATTTAACTGCTGGGAAATGACTCTTGGTTTTATATATCTGTATTAATTCCAGATATATCTTGGATAACAGACCCTTATAAAAGATGGTTGATGCAAAGCTGTTTTTAGTCCCATCTCACAGCTTCCTTTATCTTGATTGCATTGATTTTGCTCGTGGAACATGTAGGCTCTAAGCTCATTTTCCTTATTCATACTCAGTTTAGCTGACCAGGTATGTACTAGAGCAGTCACATTAAAGACAAATAGAAAGGATGGCCACTAACCTATACATGAGGATCCTACAGGATGCATATTGATGTTTAAAAGAACATTAATATAATTTGTCTTTTATTTTTATTTATTTGGTTAAATGTTTCCCAATTTCATTTTAATCTGGCTTGGGATACACTAGCAAGTATTGTGGATGCGTGCAGTCTGCAGGCTACATGCTTGACATTTCTGATCTCGGCAATAGCTACTATTACTTAACTCATGTCTATGAAGGTAACCCTGAAGGGCTGAGGCTTCTGATACTATACTTCATGACCCCTACTGATGTTTTCCTCAATATTTTTAACCTGCCAATACTATCGATATAAATTAGTCATTTAACATAAATTATCCTTCCAAAAAAGATATTTACTGAGAAGGCATAGCAAGGGCTCAATTACAGCACTTCCAACCACCATCCAGGAAGCATAACCTTACCTCTACATCCCCACCCGGTCTCTGGAGAGAGTGGATTCAGACATACAGTGGCTGCTACAGAATGCCCTCCTCTCCTTCCCAACTCAGGCTTTGTTTGTTTGATTATTTTTGTTGTTGTTTCTTGCCTGTTTGTTTTTGGTGGGGCCCTCTTTGGCCCTGGAAGTTCTTTCCTTCTCTTTGTACAGTCCCCTCAAAGTTCAATTCTAGGTGTAGTGTGGCAAATGAATGAATCCTTCCTTTGCTCAGGTGGGCTGGTTCCTTGGTGGCCTGGGTCAAGCAGGGCACTCCACAGGCTTGTCTCCTCTCTACTTAATTGAAGGTTACTGGCAGACTGTTATTGTCTCAAGTTGCTAAACCCATGTTGGCTTTTTTGACCTTTCAAGGTTAACGAGATCTTAACCTGATTTGCTCTGTATCTGGATACTCATTCATGTAAGACAAGGAAAAAAATGAACACAAAAGACAAAAGAAATAGAAGCACCACGCATTCAGATACGTGGCAGCCAAGTGAGGGAGAGGTTCCCCAATCTGGCAGCTCACTTTGGCTCTTGCCTTGCTGCTGTAAGGGAAGAAAGTGAGAGGTCTTACAGACAAAGCTTTAAGTCTCAGCAGCCAACTAAAAGGTTTTGTTTTTCTTTACTACTGTAGAAGAAAGCAGAAAAGAAAGAAGATCCCTGCCAGTGGACTGCAGCGGGGCAAAGGCTTCCTCCCTTTCTGAATAATATGTGCAGGATCATCAACAACACATAGATTTGTACCAGGAAGGACATATTGTACATGCTTTAAGGATGGAGGGCCTTTATCAGACAGACCCCTATTAAAGAATGCAAAAGCATTTCAATTTCCTTTAAACTAAATCAATTGTTTCATGTTTTTGATCACTCTATCCTTAGTTAATAGCTTTCCCTCAGCCATACTGTGGCTTTGTTCTGGATATTTTAGCTACTGCCTACTTTTTTTTTTTTTGGCTTGGCAATGGAGTTAAGCAACTTGTCCAGGGTCACATAGCTAGTAAGTGTTTTGTGTCTGAGGGCAAATTTGAACTCAGGTCCTCTTGACTCCAGGGCAGATATTCTATCTACTGCGCCATCTAGCTGCCCCTATTGCCTACTTTTTTGCAGAACACCATAACGAGTATTTATTTTAGAGACAGAGGTACACCGAGTAAAGAGTGATTATGTTAGTAATAGAGATATTGCTGGCATTACTTTAATTATTGTTTTAAACAAGGTATCAGACTGTTTCTAAGTCAAATGTGGATTTTGATATGTGCTACTAATTTACAAATTTATAGCAATGTTACAGGTCGATATGTCCTATGTTCTTGCTTCTCATTTATGCACACTGGAAGAAAGCTTCATTTCTGCATGATCGAAGAGAGGAATGGAGCTCTTTCTTGATTTTAAAATGAGAAGACTCTAGACCTGGCCTCCCTGTTATCTGTTTCACTTTAGCTGGTCCATACAGCTCCTTTCTTGCCCTTTCTTCTGATCATCTTGTCACCATTTTCCTTCCTGATGACCTTTAGGTAGTTCCGTGCTTTCCTCCATGATAAAGCTATTCTTGACAAAAGTATGTGAATAAACAACAAATCAAAGGGGGAAGTATGGTATAGTGCGGGGGCAGGGAACTTTCAGCCTCAAGGCCACATGTGGCCTGATAGGTCCATGGGTATGGCCTTTACAGAACAGATCCTTTTATTAAGGGGATTTGTTTTGTGAAGTTCAGATTCAAAGGGCTTCACTTCAGGATCTAGAGGGCCACATTTGGCCTCAAGGCGGCAGGTTCCCCACTACTGATATAATAGAAAGAGTACTAGATTCAGATTCAGAGGACAACCTCAGTTCCTAACATGCCTCTGCTACTTACTTCAATATATGGCCCTAGGAAAGATACAACCTCAATGAGCCCCCGTTTCCTCATCAATAAAGAGGGTCTTAGACTAAAGGACAGTCTGAAGTATACTACTGCTATGAGTATATGATCCTATGATCATATCTTTATGGCAATGCTGCTGTGTGATGATGGCCACTGAAATTTCAGGTCTTAGTCTTAGTGGTACCAAAAAAAAAAAAAGACTGTATGGCCATGACACTTCAAACCAAAGTTAAAGTTTCCTTATCTTTATAAAAGGAATAATCAAAGAGAGATGATATATTGTAGGGGATAGACTTCTGGATTTTCAGTCAGGGCAACCTAAATTCACAACCTGCCTCTTAACACTTGTCCCTTCTGAGATTAGAGGCAAGTCATCTGGCCTCTGTCAAATGGGAATAATAACTGTAGTGCCAACCTTATGGTATGATTGTGGGGATCTAATGAGATAATATTTACAAAGCACTTTGGAAACTTTAAACACTTCTATAAATAATAGTTATTGTGAGAATCAGATTAATGTAGGTGGAATCTGAGCATATCTAAGATCTCTGTAAAAGCAAGATACTAAGGCAGAGGTTGGCAAAAGAGAGGGAGAAGGGAAAGATTTTGGGGGAGAGGGAAAAACATTTGTGATATGTGGTTAACTTGGTATTCAGAATAGTCAGTCAATTAACATTTATTAAAGGCCTGCTTTGTGCCAGTCATTTTGCTAAACACTGAGGATACAAAGAAAGGAAACAAAACAAAAAAACAAAACAAACAAGAACCCTCTGATCTCAAGAAGCTCACAGTCTCATCAGTGAGACAACATACAAACAACTATGTATAAACACAATATGTGCAGGATAAACTGGAGGGAAATTTCAACTCTTAAAGGTTATTACATCCATTTCAAATCGGATTAGGTCTCTAGCAATTAACCACTAAACATAGCTCTTCAACTGATGTCACCAAAACCTTAATAATCTCTATTTGGGGTGATCAGAGTGATTATTTCATGAAGTATTAGAGTAAGGGAAAGAACAGAACATGCCCATTTTTGTAGAAATGAATGACAGGGTAGGCTGGGTTTTTCTCTTGGTCTCTGTTTTGGTCTTGCTCTTTCATCTTCTTCTTCCCAAAAGAATCATTTTTTTTTACATCACCAGATTTAGGACAATAAAAGCAATTGTAGTAGATCAGTTCTCTACTGAGATTCTCCTCCTCCTCCTCCTTCTTCACTCATTTGGTCACCTCCATTCACCTGAAGGCAGAGAGACTTTTCTGCGGTGCCAGCAGCTGGAGGATCCTACGACGTATCTGTTTAGTCTTGACACTGTAGATGATGGGGTTGATCACGGGAGGCACCAGCAGGTAAATGTTGGCCATGAGGATGTGAACAAGAGGGGAGGAGTGCTTGGCAAAGCGATGTACCATGGACAGCCCAATCATAGGCACATAGAGAATGAGGACAGCACAGATATGGGAGGCACATGTGTTGAGGGTCTTGAGGCGTTCCTCCCAGGATGCGATGCTCAGCACAGAACGGAGGATGAAGATATAGGAGACAATTATTCCTAGGGAGTCCACACCCCAGAAAAATATAACCAAAGCCAGACCATACATGGCATTGAAGGTGGTGTCAGCACAAGCCAACCTAATCATATCTTGCTGTAGACAGAATGAGTGAGAGAGTTCATGGGAGTCACAGAAAGGATACCACAACAGGTGAATGAGCAAGGGTGGTAAGAGGGCAGTACTTCTAAGAAATAAAATCACTCCTGTGTGAATAATGCGCTGTGGGGTGAGGATGGTGGCATACCTCAGAGGAATACAGATTGCCACATAGCGGTCAAAGGCCATGGCCAGGAGTACAGCTGACTCCATCAGTGACAGAGAGTGGATGAAGAACATTTGGGTCACACAGGCATCAAAGGTGATCTCATTGGCATTGAACCAGAAGATCCTGAGCACAGTGGGCAGCGTGGAAAGGGACATACCCATATCAGTAAAGGACAGCATGCGAGAAAGTAATACATGGGCTCATGGAGGTTTGGGTCAGTCCGAATGATGTGAAGAATGGTGCTATTACCAACTATCCCAATCAGATAAAGGAAACAGAAGGGGATGGAAATCCAGCAGTGAGCTGCCTCGTAGCCAGGGATTCCTATAAGGTAGAATGTAGAGGACAGTGCATTACTGTCATTGGAGTTGGCCATGGAGCTCTTCCATGGTTTCATGATCTTATCCCACACCCTTAAGCCTCTGGAAAGGAAGGAAAAGATATACATTATGGGCCTCAGTCATGTAGAAGCCTGGATATGTCCTTAAAAGTGTTAACCACTTACATTTATAAGATATTTTATGGAGTAGGAACAGCAAAGTCCTACTTTTCCCCCAGAGCAGTGAGGCCCTATCCTTTCCCTATATGCTGATTAGGCAACCCTTTCCCCCATAGGCTGAGCAAACAACTACTTCGGCCACATGCTGTATAGGCAGCCTCACCACTCCACAGCCCACCCTATCACCAAGGACCTGGTGGTCAAGGGACTTTCCCAAGGCCACACAAGTGCAAGGAGACTCCTCAATGCCCAATACTAACTTATGGGATGCCAAAGCCCCCATTAACATCTCATGAATAAGATAATGAAGGGACTCTGGAGAGTGAAAGTATAGCTATTTCAAGATATTTTCTTCCTCCTGGAAGACCCAGTAAAGTGCACGCGTAAGTCTTTGTTTTGTTGGCATAGCGCTAAGATTATGCCATAGCAAATTTCCACAAGTTACTTCTCCTTCACCTCTGATATAAGCAAGTCTCCATTCCCCATCCTCCCAACCGACCACTGTCCTGAGCTGCTTGGTGCTGTTTGCTTTTGCAACAATAAAGCCCTGCTTGGAAGCACTCTGGACTTGGTGTTCTTACCCACTTCAGACCAGCTCTCCCACTGAACTTTGAATATTCCAAAGCATTCTCTCTCCCATTACGTCACTTGATCCTCATGGGAGCCTCATGGAGTGGGTTAGAGCAAATATTTGACATATGAGGAAATTAAGGCAGAGAGAGGTTGAGTGAGTTGTTCAATGTCACTCAGCAGAAGCAGGATCTTGGTGTTCTCACTCTCAAAAGGAGACTCTTCTTGGTATTATCAAAGTTCTCTGTACAATTGTCTACATGAGAATGTACCAAGTATTGCCAAAACCCTACAAAAAAAAGAGTCTAAATCTATGTAGTTAGAAAAGAAAGTCAGGAAGAAAAATAACAGACACCAGTGAACAGTTAAGCGCTATGTTGAATAAATGAATATTTCACATGATACACAAAAAGAAGGGTAAATAAGAATGTGGGTGAAAAGAGAGTCGACAGAGCTGACAAGCTATAGGGAATTATCCCTATCATTCTTTTCCATAGGGATGATACCCCAAAGGAGGTTGCTTTCTAGAGATATTCTGTGAAACTGAGCCTTGGAGATAACTAAATGCATTTGCCCTTGCTGTTTGCTCTATCCAAGCTGTAATCACCATCCTCTGCTTATGAAATTCCCTCCCTTCATGCCCAGTTCCTCCTGCCTCACCCCCACCTCTCAATAGACTGTTATCACCCTCTTGACTCCTGTCACCATCACCCCTACTTTCTTGGAGAGTTTCCTGGGACACTGATAGGTTACATTTGCATAGTCACACAATTATGATATTTCAGAGGCAGCAATTAAATCCAAGTTTACCTAAGGCCAACTGTTTATCCATAACACCATGCAATGTTGCTTTTTTTCACTTTGAGTGGGTGAAAGTGGGAAGGGAACAGCTAACATTGTTGCTTCAAAATTGAAAATGTTCTGAGTTCTCTCCCCAGCAAAGTCTAGTTAGCGAAGTCTGCCTTAAGGATTGGATGCTAACTTGTTTCCTCCAGAACTGGCCTTTCACACTTCCAGCATCAGTCACTTTATATGACATCCCAAAAGCATGAGAAACAGCAAAACAACAGACTTGGCATCAGAGAATTTACCCTTTATTGCCCCTCTATCTAATTCAGCATTTCCTCCCTGGCGAATGTGCCTGGGGAGCAGTGGAACTGAGGAGGGAACAGAAAGCATCCCCATTATATTCAGTGTCACCAGTTGTGTCATTCTGCAAGCCCCTATACACTTCTTACCTTCCCACTATCATCAGCTTCGCTCTCTAACAAAACTAATCACATGAAAATATTAGGGACTTAGTTGTTTGAGCCTTCTTCGGAGTGGAATTTAAAAGATATGCCTGAAGAAGACAATGTGTATTTGATCACCCCAGAGATTTAGTGGAAGAAGCACTGAACCAGAAGCCAGAGGACAAGAGTTCAAATACCAGCTGATGCATACTACCCCTATGACCTCTACTTCACCAGCCTCAGCCTTAGTTTCCTCATTTGTGAAATGAGAGGGTTAGAATAGTTAATCTCTAAGATCTCCTCCAGCTCTAAATCTTAGATTCCGAGATATGGTTATATGAGTTCTTTCCAGGAATGTGGCAGAAGGGATACCCAATGAGATCCAAAGTAGACTAGATGCCCTCTGATGTCCCTTCCAGCCCTAAGATTCTGTGATTCTGCATTCTTAAATGAATGGTGCTAAAAGGATGATGGGGCAGCTTGATGGCATAGTGGGTAGAGTACCAGGCCAGGAATCAGGAAGATCTGAATTCAAATACAGCCTCAGACACTTACAAGCTTTGTGACCATGGGCAAGTACACTTAACCCTGTTTCATCAGTTTCCTCACTTGTAAAATGAGCTGGAAAAGGAAATGGCAAAACAATCCAATATCTTTGCCAAGAAAATCCCAAATGGGGTAGTGAAGAGTTGGATACAACTGAAATGACTCAACATCAACAACACCAACAACAGGATGACATTTCAGGCATTATGGCAGTCGTAGGGGATCTGTTTTTATATTGCAGAGGTAGGGGGAGACATCCACATTGAGCCCGTTACACAATAGACTATGAGTTCACACCTAAATACAGTTATCCTTTTTACATCATAGGGGTTAGGGGCACAGCATCCCCATGATCTGGAAAATCCATGTAAAAATTTTGGTCCTATGAGGCAGCTAGGTGGCACAGTAGATAGGGCACCGGCCCTGGAGTCAGGAGGACCTGAGTTCAAATCCTGCCTCAGACTCATAACACTCACTAGCTATGTGACTGGGCAAGTCACTTAACTCCACTGTCTAGCCAAAAAAAAAAATCATTCTTCCTTAGTAACCAGAGAAGAAATTTGATTTTTTTCTTGTTCTGATGTGGAGTGCTTACAGTACCTTACTGTAAAATTTGGGTTGATATTATACAATACTATATATTTATTTTATGCATTTCTGAGTTTCTAAACTTTTTCTGTATCTTTTTCTGGCCTTTGTGTGTCATCTACAGCTTCCACAAAACCCTCAAAAAATTCCATTTAATTCTTATGCCAACTGGTAATATATAGAAACCACAATGGGGAAAATATCAGTGGGGAAGGGATAACTATATTTCTAATGAGAGATGACATTGAGTCAATGAAACTGGCTCAGAGCAGTGGTATCACTCTGAGTAAGCCTCAAGAATACATTATAAGTGTTAGGGCCATAAAAGGGAGGCCATGGCCCCATTCTTCCTTCACCAGGTATTCCTGATTCCTTCATTCTGGACCAGATGGAGAATGAGAAGCACCCTGGCACTAGGAAAAGATCACTGCAGTTAGTATCTGGGGACTTGTGTTCAAACCTTAGTTCAGACACTTACTACTTTTGCAACTACAAGGTTTTTGCATGGAAGGGACCTTAGAGATGATCTAATTCAGCTCTCCTTTTACATAGAAGCAAAGTAAGGTTCAAGAAAGGCAATGTGATCTGCCCAAAGTCGCTTAAATAGTAGGTGCAAATCCAGGATTTAAATACAAAACTACTGACTCCAAAGACTTTCTTTTCACTCCTCCAATCACTTTATGTCAGTTTCTTCCTTCATAAAAATGAAGGTATTAATAAATGATGGAAGCAGGTAGATGGCACAGTGGTAGAGTGTCAAGCCTGGAGTCAGAAAGACTTATCTTCCTGAGTTCAAATCTAGCCTGAGACAAGTACTAGCTGTGTGACCCTGAACACTTAAAGTCACTTAATGCTGTTTACCTCAGTTTCTTCATTTGTAAAATGAGCTGGAGAAGGAAATGATAAACCATTGTAGCATCTTTGCTAAGAAAACCCCAAATGGGGTTACAAAGAGTCATACATGACTGAAAACACCTGAATAACAATGACAAAAATACCTATACCTGTTTCCAAAGGTTATAGTGATACACACAGCTTTTAAATATTAAAAAAATTAAAGTTATGGAAATGTGAACTCATATTACTTCCCCTTCCTCTGGCACCCACTAGATTTCCCTGATTCTTATCTATAAGGACATGATTACTGGAAATTTCCTTCTCCTTCCAAACTTTTACTCTTCCCTTCCCAAAGTAGACTCACTCTATACACAGACAGTGGCTCTTCTTCCTCTTCCAGCCCACAGATTCTAGGCATAAGGTTCTTCTGGTTTGAGTCTATGCTAGAATACATGCTATGGCTTATATGGCCTCTTCATGTCCCCAGAGGAATTGGGGCAGGGAAGGGAAGAAGGCCTGGGGGACTCCTATTCATTTGAAATACCCTGGTTGGGAATAGTTCCATGGCCTGGGAGCCAAGGAACAGAGAGTAATCATAGGGGAAAAAAAAGCTATGGCCCTATGGGAAGTGGTGGTGATTCTGCGGTTGGGAGTGGAAGATGAACTGGCCAAACCAAACTAACCTCATCTTCACATGCATATATAGAATTATTTGGACAAGTCCCAACATTTATCTCTGGGGATGCTGTCTGTCAAGATCTCTTCATCTCTACTGATGTCATTCTGTTCATGCTCAGGAGCAGAAGTCTTTGAGCTACCTTCTGGTCTGTGGCCTAAATTATTTTCCTGTCATTCTTATTAACAACCTGTACAACTTTAGAGGAAAGGGGTGATCCCACATAAGAACTAGATCTCTATTATTTTGTCCCTTAGGATGTACTATAAAAGTGGAGGGACTGCTGCCCCATCCAAAATAGTCATACATTTTCATGTTTAGTTTTAACGAGATAATCTACATGAAGCATTTTGTAAGACATGAAGGGCCATAACAATGGGAGCCATATTCATCTTTTACTTTTTACTCTCTTTCTGTCTTCTCCTCTC